ATCATGTCCAATCAAGTTTTAGAAACACCTCAAGGAGGATCAGTGGACACAGGATCAGTGGACACAGGATCAGTGGACACAGGATCAGTGGAAACAGGATCAGTGGACACAGGATCAGTGGAAACAGGATCAGTGAACACAGGATCAGTGGACACAGGATCAGTGAACACAGGATCAGTGGACACAGGATCAGTGGAAACAGGATCAGTGGACACAGGATCAGTGGAAACAGGATCAGTGGACACAGGATCAGTGGACACAGGATCAGTGGACACAGGATCAGTGGAAACAGGATCAGTGGACACAGAAACAGTGGAAACAGGATCAGTGGAAACAGGATCATTGGACACAGGATCAGTGGACACAGGATCAGTGGACACAGGATCAGTGGAAACAGGATCAGTGGGCACAGGATCAGTGGAAACAGGATCAGTGGACACAGGATCAGTGGAAACGGGATCAGTGGACACAAGATCAGTGGACACAAGATCAGTGGACACAGGATCAGTGGAAATAGGATCAGTGGACGCAGGATCAGTGGAAACAGGATCAGGGGACACAGGATCAGTGGAAACGGGATCAGTGGACACAAGATCAGTGGACACAGGATCAGTGGAAATAGGATCAGTGGACACAGGATCAGTGGAAACAGGATCAGTGGACACAGGATCAGTGGACACAGGATCAGTGGAAACAGGATCAGTGGAAACAGGATCAGTGGAAATAGGATCAGTGGAAATAGGATCAGTGGAAATAGGATCAGTGGAAACAGGATCAGTGGAAATAGGATCAGTGGAAACAGGATCAGTGGAAACAGGATCAGTGGACACAGGATCAGTGGAAACGGGATCAGTGGACACAGGATCAGTGGAAACAGGATCAGTGGAAATAGGATCAGTGGAAACAGGATCAGTGGAAACAGGATCAGTGGAAATAGGATCAGTGGAAATAGGATCAGTGGAAATAGGATCAGTGGAAACAGGATCAGTGGAAATAGGATCAGTGGAAACAGGATCAGTGGAAATAGGATCAGTGGAAACAGGATCAGTGGAAACAGGATCAGTGGAAACAGGATGCACCTGGGGCCCGTTCTTCGTACGTTGCTTAAAACATCCGAGATCAAACGAGACATCCAAGATAATATCATCGTGCTCATCATGATCCGGCTAATTAGTTTCTTCGAACACACCTGTTGTTTATGATTAGTATCGCTGGATTGAGTTATCTGAGATAATTGCGCGTTCATGCGCTGGTTTAAAAGGGGATATGTATCGATAGTAGAAACATTGATCAGCAACGCTGCTATTGGCTGCTCACCGTGGCCAAAGAGCGCGCTCAGTTTTTTTCTCCACAGAAGAGCAAGAGTTATTGCTTAAAGGATATGTTGAATTTGAAAACTTAATTAAAACGCCAAGGAACACCTTAAAGTGTGCAAAAGCCAGGAGAGAGGGCTGGCAAAACGTAGCAGACAAATTAAGTTTGTAGTTAGATGTTTTTATCACTTATTACAGTATATATTTTTATATTTTAATAATTCCTAAATAATTAATAACTTTGTTCATTATAATCTCAGAGTCACCACTCACAACTAGAACATAGGAACAAGTAAAAGAGAAGTAGGCCTACTAGAATATTCTACATAATAGTAATTTGTACTAACTAATCTCTTTTAAAAAGGCACTGTAAATAAATGTTTGCCTGTTTATAAAAGCTACCAAGAAAAAGGCTGATAAAAAAAAAGAAAAGAAAAACAAACAGGTGGTGGTCCTGCACCCCCACATTATACCAAGGCAGAAGAGCTGGCCCTTGGGTTGAATGTGAACTTGTGGAGGGCATCCCTGGGTTCAGCTCTTCCTCAGACCCACAGCCAGGAGCAGCAACACCTTCACTGCTGGGAAATCAACTTTAAATGATCCTAGTACACTGTAAAATAATTTGTTGCTGCATCAAATGAAGTAGGCCAATAATCCAAATGGCTGTCCAGTCATATCAGCTGTTAAACCTTGAGTAGTAATGAATTGCTTTGACTTGTGAAAGTCTACATGTGTGACTGTGAAACTACATAGTTAATGTAAAAATTATTGTTATTGATCACATTTCCCCCCAGTGTACTTCATTGTAATGAAATTGTGTTTTCCTCTTTTGTGCAGTATTAAACAATACACCAACACTTTTATGTGTTCCCAAGCAAGTGGTGTCTGAAGCATGTGCAGTAAGTGGACTTTTTCTAATGTTACATCAAAAGGGAAGAAAGTACAACACTTTGTAATGCCCATTTCCCCCCCAATGCACAGGACAATGAAGAAACCCTCTCAGGTATCTTTAAGTGCATAAATAACTTTACTTAATTTACACTTGAGTACCTATTATTTCTGAATGCAATATGAGTTGCAGGAGTCCACATCTACAGAAGAGTCTGCACAAAGCAGTGATGCAGAGGTGGGCAGTGCTGTCATTTTCATTGTTGATGCATAAGCCATGTGTTTGACAAGTTTACCCCTACCCCTAGAAAACAGAGTATTTTGAAAATACTTGACAACTTAAAAAAAAAAAAAAAACTGGCACTAGAGATAGAGTTGCTTCATAGGAACTTCAGAGTAAGTGCTAATATATTATTTCACACAGAGTACAATATATTATTTGCAGGCAAAAGATGACTTGATCACTGGCTTTTCTTTACAAAGAACAATTAAAATAAAACTCAAAGAACTAAGCATATTTGTCTTGTCTTTTATTAAACATTAATGAAATGTTTTATATTTTTTCTGATGGTGATGTTGTGTAATATGGCCCATGCAATGTCACAGGCCCTGTCAGGTGCAACCCTCAGGCTTTTCAGACACTTTAGTTGGCTAAAGTTCACTTCATTTACCCCTTTTCCACCAAAAACGAACTGGTTCGGAACTGGTGCTGGTTCAAAGTTGGTTCGGAGTTGGTTCAACTTGCGAACCTTCTCAGAACCTGTTTGTTTATCCACTGACTAGAGCGCCCAGCGAACGACGTCATTACGTCACTGTGTACGTCGCCATACATCTTAGCTAGAAACGCTTGCAAGTACAACATTACTTTGGGATTATCTCTAACTCGTGAACCAAGAAGGCTTTAAAAACAATTGAAATATGTAAGTATTTTAATCTTTTCCTTTGATATGTAATCTTTTCTGATTAGTTATGTACTCCTGTCTTGTGTCTTTTTTTTCTTTCCATTTATTTGTTCTATATTGTGACTGTTTTCTCCTTTGCTTACATAACGTTTTCAATAAAAAAATAAATTAAAAAAACTAGAAACGCTTGCGCCAACTTCAAGCACAACAATTACAATGGCGGACTACATCGTGTTTCTGCAAATGTTTCTCCTGGCTTTGCGATCCTATATTATGTCAGAAAATATGTTATCTAAACCCGCCCCCAGCCCCCGACGTAAGCATGACGTGGTAAAAGAACGGTTCTAGTCCAGCAAAGAGTTGGTGCCGCTTTGGAACCAGTTTTCCTGGCCGAGAACCGGTTCTTTGGCTGTCGAAACACAAAGAACTGGTTCGCGCGCAGGCACCGGCTCCGAACCGGCTCTCAAAATGCGTTGGTGGAAAAGGGGTAATTGTGTGCCCTTGTCCTGGCTAGAGCTGCATTGTAACTGGTCTGGGGTTTGGGTCAGGGAATGGGTTCATAAACACCTGTCTCCAAGCAGGATCCTGCTGTAATCACCTGTTTAATGGAAAAATTCAGTTCTGGCATAAGTGTATGTAATACAGTGAGCTTGATATTTAGCCTATATTTTTCCTTACCACGTTCAAATAATGTGCATAAATCTCTGAAAATTCTTGAGTCATGCACAGATCCTGGCCATATTTGTGATATGGAACACACCATCTAAGAGATTTTAGTCAGTCAACTGCCTTTTTAAAATTTGATATAATATTACTAATCTGGATAAGAATCGCAGTAGTAACTTGCCTGCACTGTTATTAAAGCCCGACTCCGACGAGTCCAACATTTATGCGTTTCCAACAAATTAATGATGTAAACGACATCCGCACGAGTCATGAGAAAAACGATATCAATCAAAAAGTACACTATCGCGCTGCGCTAAAATACTTCCCGTATCAGCTCCGCTTATAAAGCCGCGATCTAATCCTGTTAACATGAAATAAGCCTGCTCGCGAGCAGGTTCAAGCTGGCGCACCTGTTGCTATGACAGCAAGTCCAGGATGAGCGTCGAAGAACCAAACAATCCAAGATCATGCCAAATCGCCAACAATCAAATCCAGCTAACTGAGTTAGCGACGTACGAAGAACGGGCCCCTGAGCTCAATTTTGAGTGTCATGCAAAGGCTGCGAATACCTTTAAAAATATGTGATTTTTTATTATTAGTATAATTTTTAAAATAAATTTGCAATGATTTCAAACAATCTTCATTTGCGTTGTCATTATGAGGTATTATTTGTTGAATTTTGAGGAAAATAATTAATTTAATCCATTTTGGAATAAGGCTGTAACATAAAATGAGGAAAAAGTGAAGTGTTGTGAATGTTAGTTGTTTGTTGGTCTTGTCATATTATCCACACACACACACACACACACACACACACACACACACACACACACACACACACACACACACACACACACACACACTTATATATATTGTACCAGTCAAAAGTTTGGAAACATTACTACTTTTAATGTTTTTGAAAGATGTCTCTTATGCTCATCAGGTCTGCATGCATTCGCTCACAAATACAGTAATATTGTGAAATATTATTACAATATATTCAAATAGAAAACTATAATTTTAAACTTTAAAATATAATTATTCCTGTGATCAAAGTCTTCAGTGTCACATGATCCTTCAGAAATCATTACTACCGTTCAAAAGTTTGGGTGCAGTAATATTTCTTTTCTTTCTTTCTTTTTTTTAGAGAAATTAATACTTCTATAAAGTATTAATAGTAATTAATACTTAATACTTTCATCCAGTTTTGGGCAGTTTGTTTAGTCTTACATTAAATAAAGTTCGGTGCTTGGACCCCTGAATGTGCGCATACCAAACACAAACTGGAGGAGGCTTTGCCATGGAGTTTATTTTCTGCAGCAATGCAGAGTGATCCTGCGATAATGTACTGAGAGGATAGAGAAAGGAATCTTCTGTTAGAATATTTAGCTTGTGTTAGAAAACACTGAACTGTACTTACATTATATATCGTTTGCTTACGATGAGAGATCCCCAATAAGGAAAACCACTGAAGACAAAGAGGGAATCTGCATTGATTGTAGACACGATTCCCAACAGGAGAATCAGCAGGCCGATCATTATCTGGACAGTCTGAGGAAGACCAGAAAACAGGCACTTATTGCAGGGAAATAGTGAATTAACAGTTATTAGCTGAGCAGAGTTGCCAGATTTGCACAACAAAACCCACCCATCTCAACAGTTTGTTAATGTTTGTACTACTGTATTTTTGGATTTGTTCCTCTACCTTTCACACGTACACAAATTAATTATTGAAAGATTTCTCACCCCGAGTGCTTTTGGTTGGTCTTTCAGAAAAGCCTGAAGTCCTTGAGGAGCTGAAGCTGTCTGTGGCACATAAACAGTCACTGGAGCCGTTGTCCCCGTTTCAGCTGGAGCCATTTGTTCTGGGGCCTGAAACTGGATGATCAGCGTCGACGAGTTTGTGGGAATGACAGTACTAGACATTCTTCTTTCTGAATCTGAAATTGACCTGTACAAAATCAAGACATGTAAAAACATGTGAAGGATAAGAATATAAAATAGATTTTCATAAATAATCTTACCAGTGTATTTATTAAAATACTATATGTTCATATTTATTATTATAAACAATGTGGTCTTTATATTCTGGAAAAACTTATGAACGCAGTCATGTCACAGAATTATTGGTAACTATAATAACTCTTCACAGATATTTTATTACAAACATCTCAAGTTTAAACTGATCTACAGCTGTCACCATCTCACAGGTGGGACATTTGCCAGTATATATTTAAAACAATAATATCTTAGTTTAAACCTAAAGTAATATTGACAAACTATATATCATGGTGACTGTTTTTTTTAAATACATTACAGATGAGCAGTAATTTATCAATTAGCAACTAGAATATTTAACTATCATTAGACATGTTCAGGCCTTTATTTTGAAAGAGATGAACATGAAAAATCATGAAATATTGGTAGAAACTCAGTTTGTTTTCATGGCAAGAGTTCAAAAGATAACACCAATTCAATTTTCTGAGAAAAAAGGTCTGAAAATGTTTTAAGTATACAGAACAAAATGATGGATTCTCAATTTAATTTTCCCAAATATATTTTATATAAAATATAAATAATTATATCATAAGATTGTACATTTTAATAAACTCAAACTTCTATAACTTTTTTTCACTTTCATATTTTAAAAACATGACCAACCATAGGTCTATACTCCAGCATTCTTGAATTAGAACCATTTAAGTTTGGACATTGATTTACATGTTTATGTGGAAAAAAGGGGGGTGACCCTACTGTCGTTATAAATCCATACATTTCTAAATAAAGTAATAAACTACTCATTAATGAAATTTTTGTCTTAAAAAAACAACAAAAAGGCAGACATAATGCAAAGATTATAATTTTTATAAAAGTAGTCAGATGAGATCTAATTTGTTTTACCAGGGGAATGATAATGCACTCTTCCGTTGGTACTTCACATTTTGCTGTGTTTTTATAAGTTCACTCATCTGAGATAACGCATTCTGTGGTCTAATATTGTTTCCCAGAATGAAAGTTAAAGTGGGTGGAGCTCAGATATTTAGGAGGGGTGGCAAAGCTACCCACTATTTCCAGTAAATCAAGCCTGACGCACTACTGTAATATAATCTCTTTTCATACAATAAGATTAAATAAAATTTTACTTAATTTGTCTTTGTTGTATTTTATATAATCTGCATGGTGGTTTGGAAACAGACTTGTAAATATTGTACGAAACATGTGACAGAACAATGATCAGCACAGTCAAAACCATTAATCTTACCTCATTTGGAACAAATTTGGCACAATAATCAGTAGTTCAAGATTTCTAAAAAAGAGGGGAAAATAGAGAACGAATTGACTTGTTTATTTTTGGATTGTAAAAAACACCAAATTTTGCATCATCCTGTATCATTTGGGTTTATTATGGGCATATCATAAGCCAGATTCATTACCTTAGTATGCTGTTAAAAATGAAGCAAGAAATCTTGATCTATATGCAGACAACAGAAAACACAGGGCTACAAATACACGACTAGACGAGGGAAAACAAGGAGCACTTTTTCAAAGAGGAAAAATTAGGGTGGGGAAACAGTAGAAGAACTACAAAGACCAAGTGAAAGACTACAAAAGGACAGGAAATCATGAATGATACAAAATACAAGACACTAAACAAAATACCTAACACTAGTCCATCACAGACTCAAACTAATCAAAGAACACCCTTTCTGGACTCAGCTTATAGTCAAGTCAAGTCATCTTCATTTATATAGCGCTTTTAACAATGTAGATTGTTTCAAAGCAGCTTTACAGAGATAAACATACATTTTACGGTCACAGAGATTGTTTTGGCTTTATAGCGATTTTTGAATAATGTTATTTCCAGCTAAAGTTAGTTTTGATTGATTCACTTACAGCAAAATTATCATTTGTTATTACATTAGGGGCCACTAAGACGACGGCGTTCTCTTTAAACAGACTTTAAACGCGAACCTGTGACCGGATGGCATTCACATGCGCATTAAAAATTGATTCTATAGTTATATTCGTTTAAATATGTGTGCGCAGGTTTGTAATTTCCCTACAAACCATGCCTAAACATACTACTTATCTTGCCTATACATTTGATAAAGAATATTTATTTTATTTTATCACTTCGGGGTACGCGAGGCGGATTTTCAACAACGCTTTATCTGTAGAGTGGGAAAGGGATCCTCCATAGGGAGAGGCTAGTTGACACTTCAGCACTGCATTGTCATCGGGTTCAGGTAATGCTCCTTCGTCAGATCTGGATACGGCCTGGATCCGGCAGGCTGCGGGAAAACCTCGGGATAAACAAAGACACTAAAATTAGCGTAGATGCCATTCTTCTTATGATGTAACGAGTACATCAGGATTTAAGGGAAGTGTTCCCAGTTCCGGCTGACCTAATCTATGCAGCCTAACATTGAATTATAGAAGTCTATAATGTATTATGTGTATGCTAGGTCAAAGAGATGTGTTTTTCGTCTAGCTTTGAACTGACAGAGTGTGTCTGCTTCCCGGACAATGGTAGGAAGACTGTTCCAAAGTTTTGGTGCTAAATAGGAAAAGGATCTACCGTCTGCAGTCTATTTTGATATTCTAGGTATTTTCAACTGGCCGTTATTTTGAGATCGCAATAGACGTGAAGGACTATAATGCTTTAAAAGCTCGCTCAAGTACTGTGGAGCTAAACCATTTAGTGTTACTAACTTACAATTGTCTGCTTGTCAAAATCATTTACTTCTGAATTATAAAGGTTTTCATAATTGTCCCCCTCTCCTTGGCGTTGCATTATCCATAATTGTATCGATTACCGCTTTTTCTTTGTTCTTTTTTATTTTGGAGGCTAAAATTCGTTGAGCTTTGGAGCTATTGTCATAAAATAATTGTTTAGCAAAAGTGAAATATTTTACCAAGTCCTCCGAATTAATACTCTCTAAATCTTTTTTTGCATCATTCAGTTCTTTTTCTATTATTTTATACCTCACTTTTAATTCTTGCAACTTTTGTATTTTGCTCTCTATTAACGTTTGTTTATTCTCTCTCAATTTTTTCCTCCAAGATGAGTATGCTATTATCTCTCCCCTTAGGGTTGCTTTAGCTGTTTCCCATAGTAATACAGGATTTATTTCACTGTTATCATTTATATCAAGGAATGTTTAAAGAAAAAATGACAGAGGTTATTAAAACATTCCTTGATATAAATGATAACAGTGAAATAAATCCTGTATTACTATGGGAAACAGCTTGTTTTTAATGCCCTATTCAAATTTAGTTCATGAGTAATGAATTATTAAATCTCCAAACACTTGTTTTTAATGCCCTATTCAAATTTAGTTCAATGACTACTGAGGAATGGTCTGCCAATAGAAAAGGAACAATCTCACAAGTAATCACCTTAAAGAGGTCATGCTTTAACATAAAAAAATAATCCAGTCTTGAGGATACTTTATGTGCTTTAGAATAAAAGGTGAAGGTTCTGTCCTTTGGGTGGAGATGACGCCAAACAACCAACAGTCCCAATTCTAACTTTGCTTCCCTTAATAATTTAGCTGTTGGTTCTGATTTGTGTTTTATTCTACTTATAGTATCTATCTTTTGGTTCATCACTAAATTAAAGTCCCCACCCATTATAGTTAATCATTTAGCCTCAGACATTAAAGGTCCCGTTTTTCATGTATTTTTGAAGCTTTGATTGTGTTTACAGTGTGCAATATAACATGTGGTCATGTTTCGCGTGTAAAAAACACAGTATTTTTCACACAATTTACTTATCTGTATACCGCAGTGGCGGCTGCTGGTCTTTCAAAGACGGGAAGCTCATTTTTTTAAACTCGACTGTCAGGTGTGGGGATGGTGTAAAGAGCGAGGACTCATGTACAGAGTTGATGGGCTTTATTTTAATAATAATTATAATAGAAAATAATACAAACAAAAACTATGAACCAGCACAGGACTGCACACACAAGGAGAATAGGGAGCAAACAAGGCAGGTAACGAGGGAGGACAGGTGGGGCAAAATAACTAATAATCAGGAAACCAGATGGGAGTCAACACAATCGACAGGAGAGCACATAAACAAGGAAAACACATGACAAGCCATGTGCTCACACCAAACATGTCAAAAACACAAGCACATGGCCAGTAAAACAAATTACAAGCAATGTGCTCACACAAAGTGAGACATGAAGAAAAATGAGAACACTCATAAGCCACGTGTTCACACATAACATGACAACATGAAAGAACACAGCTAGTGTAAAACACGAGCTGTGTGCTACACAGCACAAGACAAAACATGAAAGCACGTGACGATGTAAACACGAACCGCATGCCACACAAAACACAACACACGTGGACAAGAGCGAACACGAAACCGCACGCGAACACGACAAGACAGAACGTTATGCACGAGAACGAGTGAAAGCTCATCCTGTGCGCTCACAACAGAAAACAAACACGCACGAATCCAGACACGAAACCGAAACCAAACTAGACAGATGTGCCGTGATTCAAACACCACGCCCGCACATGTAACACACACCTGACATCGACGGAGGAAATGTGGGAATTAGGTTAAACTGTGAAATGTAAAATGTATTGCAAATACCAATAAATATGTTACAGCAGTTAGTTTGTCTTTCGAGTACACTTGCAAAATCCGCAATGGGACTGAGCTCGAAATTTAGACTAGCTTCCGCGTCAGCGACTTTTTATTGGACGAAATCGCTGTCACTCAAAAGGAGATGCAGTCCTCCAATCATCACGCAGACGCCCGGACTCCAGGCCAGCCCACTTCTCTATTCCCCCCAGAGACGCTGAGCGTCCGTGGGCGGGACATAATCGCAGCATTTATCCAATGACCGTCTAGTTTCGAAGCACTGAAAAAAACTGTTCACACCAGCCCCATTGAAGTCAATGGACGCCGAGCTTCAACGGGGA